GCACTAATATACCCATTGAAAAATGCCTCGAACTGCTATATTCGTTATCGACATTCAGAATGATATCGCCGTTGATCCTACCTCTCGCGTTCCCCAGGCGGATCGCGTCATCAAAGCCTCTGAAGAGATCTTACAGACGGCTCGGTCCATCAAAGACTCCAATGAAAAGAGCAACAGTCCACTCATCGTATTCATTCAGCACGAAGAGTCCGCGAATGACGGAGCCCTTGTAAAGGGGACCGAGCCCTGGGAACTCGTCTTTCACCCCCGCGCGGATGTGGAGGGCGAAATTTTGGTTGCAAAGAGGACAGGTACAGTACCAATCATGCTCGATGCCAATGGACCTAGCTTAACGCATCTTTACATTCTACAGGGGACACATTCAAATCCAACCGCGACCTCGCGCAGAGGCTGCGCGACGCCAACGTCACCGAAATCGTCGCGTTTGGTCTGCAGAGCGATAAATGCGTCGAAGCAACATGTACCGGAGCACTGGCAGCTGGCTTCCACGTAACTGTGTTGGCTGGCGCACATTCTACCTACGATGCTGATGGAAAGACCGCCCAAGAAATCGAGCGTGAAGTTGAACTTCGCCTCTCGACACGAGGCGCTCGCGTTGTGCGGTGGGAGAAATGGGTGGAAAAGCAACAGATTGCCTGATTCTCACTCTTGTTGCTTCCGGTTTAGTTCATTCTTGTACATGTTAGAATTGCCAGGAACTTTGCCTGAAATGCGGGCTTCGTCGAGATACACCATAATTGACATTATCATCACCGTTTCCTTTCCTGCACATCGAGCTCAGAACAGAACACGTACGCCACAGTGGCAGCCAAGCTGAACAGGCCAAGTTGGAAGATCGGAGTATAGTTGCGCTTGGCGGGACTAGAATGAAGCATGTTGGAGGGGTAAGTAGGGTCTGGGCTCGGGATGCATGTCTGGGCGGGGAGACGCTATAGGCTCGCCCCACTTGCGCCCAGCTGATGTTCACCGATAGTCCAAAATAGTGTAGACCTGCGATCAGCCGATCCATCGGCAAACGGACATCGCAGTAACCGGCATGGGGTGGTCACATCACCTGACGGCTACGTACAAAGGACGATCAGGAAGATCAGGAAAATCAGACAACGGTCTTATCCTGAGGCATCTATTCATCCACAGGTCATTTCTATCCCGAAACCACTACTCACTGAGTACAGAGCCTCGACTATTTCGTCGCTAAGTAAGTAGCAGTAAGATACGTATTCTTTCATGTTTCGGTGTAGGCTAATGCTAGAACTAGATACGGTATTCCCAAACGATATATGATAAGAAATTAGTGAGCACTTCGAAGCCCGCTTGCTATCATTCTAATGCATAAAACTGTAGCATACGTAGGTAGGTTGGTCTGGAAATGCATAGACCCGAAGAACCTCCAAATGAGAGTCGCATATAATTTAAACTGCTGCAAACAATTGTATAGATAACCCAAAGTGCTTGTTAACTTTGTCCGTAAACGCTTTGCAATCATCACAAGGAGCTTTATTGACCAATATGGCTGCCTTTGATAAGGTAGCCGGTAGCGGTGGTGCCTCAGCCATCCTGATCAGGTCTCGGTGTCTCCATCGTCGCGTATCTAGTATCTCCAGTTTGCATTCTAGCTCCTGTAATGATCGCGCCCGAGGACTATTGATCACGCGGTTCAGTATCGCTTCAACGGCCCTGAGATTTGCCTCCAGTTCCTGAATCTCATCGTCTTTTCTGACGAGTTCTTCCGTTTTATACATGAGCTCGTACTTCAAGTCCTCCTTGCGTTTCCGGAGATGAGTCACTTCCCGTCCTATCTCGGTGCTTGAATAGAAGCTTTCGAAATCGTCCTCTGTCCTTTCATATTCCTCTCCTAGTTTTGGATCCAGCAAGAGATCGCGTGGAAGAAAAACATGGCGATCAAGGAAATATGCTATCAATTGCTTTTCTGCGTGGCAGGCAATATCCTCATCATGGTCATGGGAAGGGAAATGATGACCTACTGTTTTGGCAATGTAAAAGACATCGTCTGTCCACTGGCGACCCTCAACACTGAGGGTTTGCCCAGGAGATGGTGTCAATCGGCTGATAGCAGCAACAGATGGGAATTTTCCGCCCCTTTCTAGTCGAGCCACTGTCTCCCACTGTTGTGAACTTCGATCCTCTTTGGTTGGCTTGGACCCTCCCATACTGGAAGACGTGAAGCTATAGGACTGAGACAACGATACAGTGGGTGGTTCTCCAAAAGCGGTCTTTGACTTTCGTCTCTCTGCGCTAAGAAGGCGAACAATCTCCTGGCGATCAAGGGCCGCTCTGGGAGTGTCCTCAAAGTAGTCATCAGTACGATCATTTCTTTCCTCTCGAAGTTCGTCATGCTCTTGAGCAAAATAAATTGCCAATCGATTTTTGACGTCCCGAATATTGGTGTCCGCACCGTGTTGTAGGAGTATCTTGACATTGTGAACCCGCCCAAAGAGCGCTGCCTCCATTAGAGCGCTCCTTCCGCCATTATCAACAGCATTCACATCCGCTTCGTGTTCGATGAGAAGCGACAGCATCTCTGGGATACTCTCAGCTGCTGCGCGGATGAGGGTTGTTTTACCGTTGAAGGGGAACCGCCCTCGAACAAACAGACGAGCCTCACTAGATGTCTCCAAATATCCTTGAACCGCTCTAGTGTGTCCGGCAATACAGTCGCAAATTGACTGGGTAATCCTTTTCTGCTGGAATGGCTGGACGTCACATCCTAGGTCAAGCGGGAAACCTCCTAGGTCGACGGTGACTAGTTCCTTTGCATCTTCCGGGATATTCAATGAGATTTCTTCTTCATCTGTTGTGGCTGTAGTAGCCTTAGCTAGATCAGCTGCCAGCTGATCAATATCGCCATCATCATCGTCCTCATTATCGCTGTCATCCGAAATACAGATATTGACGTATCGACCACGTTTCTTGTTGATTTCATAGGCTACCCCACCTTTCTCATTCATGGGGAAGCAGCAAAAATATGTCTTGCTTGTTTCGCAATGAGATTTTCTGAGATCGTTTGCCTGCCAATCCAACGAGTTGACCCGATGGCGATGAACTGCTTCGCAAAACGGACATCGTACGTGGTAGCAGGTTGCGTTCCACCATATCACGTCAGCTTTAGGAATACGTCTCTCCATTGTGAGAATATAGTATTTTGTCGTAAACCGAGTCGACGAAGATGTTGGGGAGACAGCCTGTTGGGTCGCCCGAGCAGGGATTGATTGGAGGGACCAAAGTCATGGTTTGAGTGAAGATATGTCAATACACCTGTCGCAACTGTCACAGAGACCTTCTATGTCAAGGATGCTTTGAAAGTATTTAAAGCGGGGAAATAGCGATTTCTCGTGACTAGAAGATATAATACATCACCACTGCGTGATTGTGTAAGATACTATATTACCATAAGGTAAATAAAACCAGACAAAATAATCCTGGTTAAGTTTGGACTCCTTCATCTGTCCACACGTCGAAGTTGTGCGGAATCTCGTCCCTTCCAATAATCAAACTAAGTCCTAGAAAGCATGGGGACTGTCTTCATCAATAACAAGAAGGCCTATTCCAACCACTTCGATGCTGCAATGAAGATAGACAATGGGTTCAGTGCGGCTCTGTTATGTTCACTTTGCTAAACTTCTGATGTAACTCTTTAGAACCGCTGTTCAACCAAAGTTTCTAGAGTGACCCTTAAGGCAACCGCGCAATAACAAGAGAACAGCCCTTCGAGATCATGCACCATAGTTCCGGTTTCGTGTCTGGCGTAAGCGGATGATATGTCCGCAAAAGAATTCCGCCATGATGAGACGGAAGAAACGCATAACATGCGACGTTGGGCCCAGAGACGGATGCCGGGACCTAGCCAACAACTGGGCATAAGCAAAATTCAACATAAGGACCTACTAATTGTCGGGGGTTTCTCGATGAAATCGATACGAGGAAAACATTTGATTGGCATAGGCATTGCTTCATTGTCATGCTCTGGCATGTTATCCAAGAGTTGTTTACGATGTGGTAATTTGGTGCTATCACAATGCAGCCAACCTCTCGCGGCGCTTTTCACCGAAGTTCGAGATGTATGCTTGTAGACTTCCCCCCTCCAAGATCCTCAATGATTGCAAGCAAGGCAAAGAAGACACTAAAAGGAGAGCCGAGTTACCCAGCTAGTGACCAGTCTTTCCTCAGTGTAGACAAATATGGCCGAGAGTGAGGGATTAGAATGCTCAGGGGTAAGCGACATGGTCCGGGTACATGCATGACTGTCTATCAGACGTTGCAAGTGACTAATTTTCTGTTGAAGAAGAGCTACTAGTCACTTTTACTAAAGACTGGTCTGGAAATCGTGACTCTGGGGGTGGAGTCTATACGAGACACTGAATTGATGGGGATGAAATCCGTGGGGAACCACCAGGCCATGCAGCCAATTGATTGTCATAACCTGGCACCGGTGATGGCAAATATCCCTCATCAAGATAGATACTGTGCCCAGACCAAGCACAGGATGTTGTTGAGGCCTTGGGAGCTCCTCTCCGGAAGACTTCTTATCCGGCCTGCGAATCACAAGGGGTCCAAGCCCAGCAACTTCCCCCGCCTTTTTCCCCACAAACTCCCAATCTCCGCGTCTCCACAAAAACACGTTGGAAAAGCTGGGGATAAGCCAAGCACGGTGGGTAGTTAGAACTACCTAATTGACCATCTAAGTGATTAGGCACTGCTGACATTTCATTCGTGCGGCCAGAGAAAACTACCTTTCCAAGTAATGTGGATTAGGACGTCACCCGGAAAATAAGGGTGCTATGACCTCGGTCCTTCATTTCGGCTGTGGGGAGCTTCACGAACATCACTACGCTGTCCTTGCTAGCTAGCTGTGAGCCAATGATTGAGCTTCTGTCGAAAGCTTCGCATCATTTGAGAGCGGATGATGCGGGCGGGTGGCAGCATACGACATGATGGTTGGCCAGCGTGCATCTTATTGTGCCTTCAATAGAGCTCTCGAGAAAAGCTTGTTCGGCCCATTTTTGGTTCATACGTATACGCCGGGGTATTAATTTGATAATGCTGGCCTGAAACGATGATAGTTCATTCGATCATCGTCGCTGACGTGACGAACTATCATATGTGTCTACCCTTCCAAAGCCGTCCGTTGGGTGCCAAATCAACAAACACCAGCACCAAGATCGCTGGACGGACACTTTTCTGTGAGAGATAATGGGCCGGTCGGAAACGATCATAAACCGCAGGAGAAAGTTCTCTGCTCGGTCATGTACACCTATTGTGGGCATGTACTCCGGCAACCCCCCGTAGCAGTGTGGAAATGTGCGGGGATCTAGTCTGCCGGGCATCGGGACTCAAGAGGACCGGTCGAGTCACAGAACCACAAGCGGTATCATGGAAGATGATCCCCATAATTTCCCCACAAACTCAATTAATTCAACGGCACATCCGGATGACCGATGACGACGTTTTGTTTGCAACTCCCGTGGCAGGAAGACTGCTAGACTCATTAGGTGTCGGGATCTGCGATATAAAATAGGGACGCATGTATCCTTCTGTGGGTCAAGCAGACAGACCCAGTTCTCATTTTTCTTTTCATCTCTCGCTGGCAGATTCTGGCTACTGTTGACAGGATGCGCTCACCTGCTTGGGCTTCCATAGCCATCACAGCCCTTGCGGCATTGGCAAATGCTGGAACTCCTTCCACGTTGGCGGAGCTTTGCACTGATTCCATTGTGAAGGCAGCTCTACCACCCTCTGAATTCATCCAAGGCATAACAATTGACTCGGACTCTGTGACGACCGAAGTCGTAACGAACAGCAGTTTCTCCAGCGACTTTTACCCAAGCGCCACTATTGACTATTGCAACGTCACATTCGCCTACTCCCACGATGGCATTGACGGTGACCAAGTGCTTTTGGAAATCTGGCTCCCCGCACCCACAGATTTCAAAAACCGCTGGCTCTCCACTGGCGGAGGTGGTTATGCCATCAACTCCGGAGACCAATCGTTGCCAGGTGGTGTCATGTATGGGGCCGCGTCAGGTATGACAGATGGCGGTTTTGGGGGATTCTCAAACAATGCGGACACGGCTATGCTGTTGGCGAATGGCACACTCAACTACGAGACGCTTTACATGTTCGCATACAAGGCGCATCGGGAGCTTAGCTTGCTTGGAAAGGCTCTGACCCGCAATGTTTACGGAATGAGCGACAGCGATAAGCTGTATGCGTATTATCAAGGCTGCTCTGAAGGAGGCCGCGAAGGTTGGAGTCAAGTGCAGCGATTCGGCGATGAATGGGATGGAGCCATCATTGGTGCTCCAGCATTCCGCTGGTCCTTCCAACAGACTCAACATCTCTATTCCAACATCGTCGAGAAGACACTGGATTACTACCCACCCCCCTGTGAGCTAGACAAGATCGTCAACGAGACCATCGCTGCCTGTGATGCCATGGACGGAAAGGTAGATTGGGTGGTTGCACGGACCGATCTCTGCTTGCTCGACTTTGACATTAGTACAATCGAGGGTAAGCCCTACTCGTGCGCTGCATCCAGGGGCACCCCTGCACAGAATGGCACGGTCTCCGCCAAGGGTATTGAAGTCGCGAAAACCATCATCAATGGATTGCATGACTCCCAAGGCCGCCGTGTCTACTTTTCCTACCAGCCTACAGCCGCCTTCGATGATGCCGAGACGCAGTACAACTCCACAACAGGCCAATGGGGGCTCGATATCGATCAGCTTGGAGGCGAATACATTGCTCTCTTGGTAGACAAGAATGGCACTACACTGGACAGCCTGAATGGAATTACCTATGACACGCTCAAGGACTGGATGATCTCCGGCTTGCGGGAATACTACAGCACCTTGCAGACCACATGGCCGGACCTCACGCCCTTTCACAATGCTGGAGGTAAAGTCATCCATTACCATGGTGATGCTGACTTCAGTATCCCCACCGCTGCATCCATCCGCTATTGGGAATCAGTACGCAGCATTATGTACCCCAATCAGGACTATAACTCCAGTGCCGAGGCGCTAAATGAGTGGTATCGTCTGTACACTGTCCCAGGAGCGGGTCATTGTGCGACCAACGATGCCATGCCCAACGGCCCCTTCCCACAGACTAACATGGCTGTGATGATTGACTGGGTGGAGAACGGAGTAGTGCCTACAACTCTGAATGCGACCGTGCTCCAGGGAGAGAATGAAGGACAGAACCAGCAACTCTGTGCTTGGCCACTGCGACCCTTGTGGACCAACAATGGCACCACCATGGAGTGTGTGTATAACCAGCGTTCAATTGACAGCTGGCATTATGACTTGGATGCGGTTCCCATGCCTGTGTACTAGGGGCTGTTTATTCGAAGGAGGCCAGCTTGATTTGTACGTAAGATCGTCTGTCAATATAGCCGGACAGAGTGGAGGCTACTTTCCGTTTCCCAATACATATCTGAAGACTTGATCCTTTCCTCTCTCGTTGTTTCATTTGTCAAAGTCCGGGGTATGTAAACAGCGTAGCCAACAACCTTTGGCCGGGACCACAAGTACTTTCTACCTGCGGGAAGTAACAGTTTCCACCTCGGGCGTATAAGTGTTGACTACTTACCATTCCCATCTTTATCCTCATATCCAAAAGCATCACAAATCACAACCGGCTCATGCTAAATCACAAAGCAGAGGACTATGAATAGTATACCCAGAAAAAGAGATTGATATAAAGTCATTGGTAGTATGAAAGATATGGAAACTGGAAATACGGGTCACCCCCCATCCAATAATGATCCATCAGCTTGAACCCCCCAGGTACTGCCCTTTGAAACATCCCACTCGGATCATACTTCCGACTAACCTCCTGAAGCCGTTGCTTATTTCGAGGCCCGTAAGATCCAATGGGATCTTGAAAGTCAGATGAATAGTTCATCATTTTAAAACGAGACCCCGTACCTCGCGAAACAGCCTCGTCCTCAATCCTCCCTAGCAACAACTTCATCGAATCCAATACCACTCCATCTTGCTCCTTATTATCCCAATACGCCAACAACAATATTCCTATCAACGGCCCATCCCCCCGATGCAACCCCAAGACATTCCCTCCCAATTCCTTCGACTTCCTCATCAACGACACAGGATACGGCTGGAATGACATCGACAGCCGCAGTCCCTTCGTGAACCTCACCGGATCCACCACCTCAAAGAACTCACGGAATATCTTCAACAGTGTGTATTCATCTGCCTTCACTGTCGTGTTCATATACGCACACCTTGTCTGCCTCCGATCCCTCTTCTTCACATCTGGTTTCGGACTCCAACTCTCCATCTCCACACCTGGACCCGAACTCTGACGCTGCTGCACAGACGCCACAGCCTCGGGAACCGACATCATCCCCACGCTCCGCAACTCTTGCACCTCATACGACATTTCCATGAACGGTCGGAGGGCTTTTGGGACTGCCCTAGCACGAGTATAGTACAACTTATTCTCACACAAGTACCCCCATTCACGTTGATACACAATGGTCGCTCGCAGATACATATCGCTCATATGCTGCGACGTTTGCAGGACCTTCATCAGCGCTTTAATTTGAAGTGGGAACCCGCAACACTCATACCACAGGCTCCCTCCAAATAAGGAGCCCTGAGGAAATGTCCGCATATCATACCGAGTGACGATTCCAAAGTTGTTGCCTCCGCCGCGCAGAGCCTCCCAGAGATCGGAATTTGTTCTCGAATTGGCATTGACAATTGTCCCGTTGGCAAGCACAACTTGGAAATTGACGACATTATCGCAGACGAAGCCTTCGCGGGATGAGAAGAGTGATAATCCACCTGGTCGGAGTTAGTCGCTATCATCATTCATGAAGGAAAGAAAAAGAGAGGAGAGAACATACCGCCTAACGCAACACCCCCAATCCCACTCTCCGTCGAAAGCGGTCCCGCAACCGCTAACCCAAGGCTCGCTAGGAAATCATATACATTTCCCCATCGCTCCCCGGCCTTGATCCTTACAATTTCTCCCCGAAGCTCAATTCCTTGGAGCAGTTTCAGATCGACCGTGATCCCGTTATCGAGATTTGCACATGCATGTGTTGTCTGTTGACCGCCACTCCGGACAGCGAACCTGATTTCCTCTCGATCAGTGAAAGGCTTGACGATGCTCAGGAAGCGCGACACGTCTGTGGTATTTCGCGGACAGAAGATGCATCCTGGTTCAAATTCGCTTTCTGTGGCTGAGCTGTGGGAGTCGTTGAGGTTCTCGTAGGCAGATTGGCCGGGGGCAAGGACGAACCTTTCGGAGAATATGTCCTTAAGGGCTGATTTTAAGAGAAACACTGTCATTTTTCCTGTCCTTGGTTGATTGGATTGGATGATAGGGTTGTTAGATCGGGAAGGGTGGATGCTAATGGTCTAATGCATCGGCTTGCTGCTGTGTAACATCCATTTCTGGGAGTTGAATGGGACTGTGGCTGGCTATATATTGAGCTACCAGTTTGAGGGGCGATCTTGCGTATACTACGGATGGAAGAAGCCTTGAATTGTTAGGGTATCCCCTATCATCCGTGAGACTTGAAGTCTTGAAATGAATTGAATAGTGATCAGATGGCCAAGTACAACTCAGAGCGTAAATCTCGTGTTGTACGCAGCGCATACATACTGTTGAGTATCTCCTGGGAACGGCCCGATTACCAAGACAAAGACGTGGCCGTCAAGGCCTATATACTACCCAATGCTAAAAACATCGCTATGTCGGATGACTCATTTGATTTACAATGCGCCGAATACTTTGGACTCTTTATATACTGTATTCCTTTATCTCCGCTAATTGTAACGCTAATTTCCGCCTTTTGCTATGCCCTGCAGATATAACGGATCTATCCGTCCCTCACCATTCATTGTGCGCTTTGTTGCCAAATAGAGCTCAAACCTTGGAAAAAAATTACATAGATCGACAATGTAGCGGCGAGATAGAAAGAACAGCAGCCACTATGTCTTCAATCAGGGTGGTAGTTCCCAATCCAGTGATAAAGACAGCGGTTCGATTACTACTTTGGCTGGGATTCAGGTAGTACAGCCGAACATATAAGCCCAATACAACATGGTTCGGGGATTGCGAAATCTATCGCGATCATTGTCTCATATCAGAGACTATTGATATCGTAGGGTCCGTATGAGTGTAGAATAGCGAATAGACTTGGCGTCGTCTACCCACGCTGTGAAACTTGATCCAATTGTCCTTTGAAACAAATGTCAGTGGACAAGGATAGATATTGAGACCATTTAAACTCGGATTCGCCCGCATTTACTTGACCCAGAAGTCCTGATTCGCAGTCAGGTAACTTATCGGGGAAAAGATCGGCCTGGTTAGTCGCTTTCTCGGGCCTTATCCCAGTACACACATTTGCTTGTACATCAAGCAACATCTGGTTAGCAGTATTAACTGTCCGCTCTAAAATGGTCAGGGCGAGGGCGACGGAAAATGACTGGACGTATTGGCAGTGCTGCTGCAGCACTTTGCCGAGGTCCAAAGGGTATAACCAGGATCACCCGGCATAAGGCAAAGCTTCTCAATGTTCACCCCAGCGATCTTACGACGGCGAGCCAGGTACGCCTCGTAGTTGGCCGTGTGCCGCTGGCAAAACGTCAGTGTATCGACCAGGCTTAAACCTACCGAGATAACTAAATCATGATCGAGGATCTTATGCTTGTCCCGGTTCTCGTAGAAAGCATTGACCATTTCATGTCTTTCCATGTGGTCGAGCCCCGAGTAAAAGATCATGCAGTCGGAATTTGCATTTAAGTTTCCTGTACACCTAAAGTTTCTCAGCTGTAGTGAGCGGAAGGTAAAAGTCTTGTCGAAGCTAGCAATTATTCGCGAGATAGGGTTCCGCAAGCAGTACGTTTCCTTGAGAATCACGGCGTCATGTTGTCCTACCAATCAAAAGATGGGCATTGCTGCATGACAGAGTTAGATATATTGTATGCCTATTCGTGCTGGAGGCTAAATAGTATAAGGTTGTTCCTCAAGTATGGAGCTGTTATTCCAAGGCGTGGGGAGTATATTTTCTGGCGATAAGGTATCTTAGAAACGAGTAATCTTTCAACGATAATAGATGAGGGCATGTGCCCAAGTACCTAAGTCTCCGGATTCGCCTGAGTCACCGAGTACCCTGTCACTTTTCGAGAGTATTCAATGTATTATTGACTCTCGACAGCATAATTCTCTGTCGAAGGATATAGTACCACGTTATGATGTTGTGCAAAGCATGCCGCAGAGCCAGGTTTTGATGCAGTTTTATGATATTTCCGTATATGCTCGGATTGTATACATGATGCAAATATTTGCCCGGGCGCGGTAGGTAGATCTAGGATGCGGTCGGGTACAGCTAGAGCCATGGTCCTGCGGATCATTAGACGCTCTGGCAGGTGTCGCATGAGGGTTGCACTCTGAGTAGAATAAACAGTTTGTGGCAGGATCGAGTAACAGAAAGAGTCGGTTGGGAGGATAAGAATCTCGACGTTGACATGTATGAGCTATAAACATCGAAGATGTTCTCTCTTATGCAGTAGTTCTTGAAGGTTTCCTCTATATTGGCTTGCTGCGTCGACAAATGTTTCTATGAGACCACAGGGTGGTGAGGTGTGTAGTTGTTGTCTGGCTCGTTTATGTGTATCATCGAAGTTAACGATCAAGCCCGCTGTATCTATATTAATCCTTCGTGTGACTGGAGCAGAAGTAGAGAAAGTTATTCTCTAAGGGCTGGGTATATCTAAGCTTGCAATACCATTGGGAGTCTGGGTTAACTTGTAGACATGTCCCATTGGTCCAGTAGGTTGTCCTGTTTATATAGGGCTCTAGTCATCCCATGTAGGCTAAGAAGTCAATGCCAAGATAAATACTACTAAAGAAGAGAGAGCGCGCATAGGTAAGGAAGATGGGGCTGGAAGGCCATTTATATAGTTCTTCGTCCTCCAGAAGGTGCTCTTCACTTGAAAGCAGCAATTTCCTTGTTACCTTGAATACTATCGCGTTCACCACTCTAAAGTCTCTGTGAAGCCCGGGGGAAGGGAAATCACCCTATGGTCCTACGATGCGTTGACTTGTATGCAATGGTGAATCTCTAAACTGATGAATAGATGAAGTGAAACCAGTAGTGTATTGACTTCTACAATAAAGCTCAGTGGATGATAATAAGCCTCCTTTTCCCCCTGGTGCCATTACCTTTTCTATTTGGGAAATCTAAAATTGAGCCTGAAACCGACATATATTGCTGCCTGAGGCAACTATGAACTGCGCCCGAAAGGGGTCAGTAAGCTGGGAAATCACCAGACACGCATTCTCTACGAAATGCTGTTTTAATGCTAGCTTGAGATTTGTAATTGCCTAATGGCCGCTGATCATCATCGTCGGGTCTGATGGTACAAGTGCCATTGGCCTATTGAGCGTCTTGCTGCAACGGCAGGTCGTAACAGGTTGCCTTACAGATGGGTTCGGGCCGGCGATAGTTACTCGCGGTGTTTCCCCTATTACCTTGCGAACCTGGGCTAACAGTTTGTTGATAGATGTATTGTCCCTCTCAGCTGGGTTGTCAAGACCAGTCCCTGCAGATTGTAACATAATAAGCAACGATGGGGGGCCTGATTTAAATAAGCATGATCCCTGCATAAGGGTGCTCGCAGTTGCAGATGGTAGCACATAAACACCACTTTCATTGGCTTTTTGGGTATTTGTCAATGCTACTACGCTTATAGGGCTGGAATTGCTGACGGCAGGGACTAGACAGGCGCCTGACTTTGGTGCACGAGGCTGTAGTGACTGCTGAGTGGTACCACGGTCATGTTCACCAACTCGGGGTTTCAAATGAATGATGTTCTCGAACACGATAATTCTGGAAGAGAATGGTTGTATACTAATCACTTAAGCCATCTGCCCATATAGTGTTGAACCATCGAGCATGGGAACTTCTCTCCAATGTGCGTTCAAAGACATTAAATGTCTTACTAGGTTACACTACAAAAAGAAATTATCCTCGTATTTCAAGTAGACCCTGCATGATGGTCTGATGGGGTAAGAATGTTCCCCTGTCCAGACAAATTTAAAAGGCGCTTAGGAAGAGTATCAGGCGTCCAACTAGGCGTGCTACAATGTATCGATTGACCCTTCTGTTTCAGTTACTTTATCAATATGGAAACATACGGATTGGTGAGACCTTAGTCGAAGAGCTTTGGTGTATAAGAATGAGGACGAATCCCTCCCTATCCTGAGTCTTCATCCCATTCTTCATCTGGCTCTAGCTTTGAACATAATTCTACAAGGCCCAATTTTCTTCAAGCTCATACATCATCGTCATCATGGTCAAGACCGCCCTTCTCCCTCTCGCTCTCCTTGCTGCACTGGCTCCCTTTGCCGCCGCAAGGAACTGCAAGACTGGGCTTAATTATTGTGGATGGAACCTCCTTAACATTGGTATGTTAACTTGCCTCCTCTATCCAGACTTCACGTTTCTAATAATATCCTTTTGATAGGCAAGTACGGGGCCCAGGTCAATGGCGCCCTCGATGCTGCCCACCAGCCGACCGACGATGCCCATATTCGTGAATCCCTCTTCCACTGCAACGGTGGCGATAATGGCGATATCTCTTTCTTCACATACTGCGGTGGTGGCTGCAAGGATGGCGGCATGGACCGCAGCGACTACTGCTAGATATTTGGTTGCGGATTGGTATCAACTTCTAACTAGTGGTGCGATATGGATGCGGCCATTGTACTTTATTCCCTTCATTCCCTTCATCGTATCCAACATACGGTATAGTGGAGTCTTAGTCTAGAAAGGAAATGCAACTTTTAGGGGCTGAGCTTGATTACTATCCTAACATAGATAAAATATACCATGCATGATAGGAAGAAATTCATAGGTCCCCATATTACAAAGGAAACAGGGTTCATTTGGAGAAGTCGATATATCTCAGTTGGAATAATCACTGGATGTTCATCACGGAAAATGTTAGGGTCGCGACAAGCAATGCAAGTCGGTCAGCTACATGATACGATGGATAGCGGATCGTGTTCTTCGATTTTGAGCTCAGTCACATTCTTTCGAAAATATCTTATGATGGGCCTATTTACAACAATCAAGAACCGATAACAGCCAAAGTTCGGCGTTGTCAACAAATAATATGCCGGGACCTGAAGACTCTGCCCCACCAGCCATGCCCTTCTTGGTCCCCGACTTCGAATCGTTAACTTTAGCCTCCGCCTGTGCGCTTCTCCCCGGCTCACCCGACGGAAATATCTCCCCAATCTCACCAATTATTAGCCAAAACGTCTCCTCCGCACCCACATTGACTCACGTCGGCAATTCTCCTGTTCTCCACTCTCCAAATTTAAGCAATTAACCCCCTAGTCGTATAAGTAGCTCGTATCCCACCGAGCCGATTAATTCCCATACAAAATTCATCCAGTTCGAATAAAAATACCCTGAAAATGCCATTCACAATCCGCTATGCCACAGAGCAAGATGCTCTCCACCTTGCCAACATCAACGTAGTCAGCTTCAACCACCAGGCACTATGGTCCGCGTTGTTCCCAAACGTCGACGTGCCCGGAACTTTGCCACTCAAAACAGCCCGTTGTCTAGACAAGCTCAGATCGCCGCAAGTGCATGTTGTGGTAGCCGTTGATGATGATTCGGGCAAAGTTATTGGGTACTCTCGATGGTGGTTTCCGAAGGATTACGAAACGAGCGTTGTCGAATTGTCCTCCGAGGGCTTAGATGCACTAACGGCTCATGACAATGGGAAAGCGTACCCAGAAGGTCTCAATATGGAGGCTTATCAAGCATTCAAGGACCTCTTGGCTGATTTGCAGCGGGCACATTTAGAGGAGGGCGATATCAGTATGTTGAATACTCGCTCTTATATTTACCATTGCGGTACTTGAAAGATTGGCTGTATCCGTGTACTGACTACAGCAGTGTTGGAATTCCTCGCTACTTTGCCGGAAGCTCAAGGCAAGGGTGTTGGAACGGCATTGTTGAAATGGGGTATTGAGCGTGCTGATGCGAGGAATGCTCGAGTGTATTTGGAGGCTACAAAGGACGGGTATCCGCTTTATTGGAAGCATGGGTGGCGGGATCTGCAGGTGGCAGGGTTGGATTTCACGAAGTATGGGAGCACAGGGTCGCAGGAATGGGTTGCTATGCGGAGGGATAGGAGAAAGCCTGTTGCTGGATGAGATGTTTTCGTTTTAGCTTGTTCTTTGTTCTGTTCAGACTGATGAAGACAGATGATACACAAGTAATAGATCTAAGGCATTGGAGACACATTGATGGATGACCAATCAATATATGGAAATTCTATAAGAGATATATTCAACTCAACACCTATCGTATACGTATGCTGGTGATAGGCTCTACACTTCTCATTAGAAACACTCGTGCCGAGGACTGAGAAAAGCATATCATTTTGTATTGTACCAAAACCAGATGCGGTGCTTCTTTGACTTAATATCTAGGGCCTCCCGAATTTCAAAAAGCCTGCGGTAACTCGATATATGAGTATGAGAGGAGAGAGGAGATGGACCAGTATGAGTACAACTTTGACTTCGGCCCCATTATACTAGAACATTTAATATTTGTATGGGTGCTATACGAACTCATATGGCGAATTACGATTCTTTAGAGCTCGCATGTTACAGCCGTTTACTAATATACTGCATGGCATGACTCTAGTTTGATTTCACTTCATCGTCTTCAATTCCTAGGGGGTGAATCCCATATTCACCATGGCAAAAGGCTTTAATTAGGACATTAACCACCTGCCTTCCTCAACTCGTTACCATTCCCCGTTTCTTGGTCTTCTTCTTATAAATACCCTCTGCTTTTGTCTCTCCTCTTCCTCTTTCGCTATCCACTCACAATCTATCTTGTTCTCATTACCAGTATACTAGAGGTCATTCTTTCCTGGTTAGGTGTCCTTGCAATTCTTTCGCCTTCAGTGGTCGAAGGAGACGTATAGTCTGTGTCTACTACCAGACAATTCTCTATATGGTATTCAATAATACTCTTCTATGTCATCTTGAGAACTCATTATTCCAAGCTGAAGCGCAAACCATGTCATCTTGCTACAGCTATATCTCGGTTTGGCAGTATGCGCTCCTCCTCATCCTTGCCTCGTGATCTTAGCGGAATTTTCGGCACCTTGGTTATTGATGAGGCACATACCTTGCGAAACCGCAACACAGCTCAGTGGACTGCAGCCCATGCAATCAACGCGAAATTCACGATTCTGGCGACTGCGACCCCCATCTTCAACAGTTACAAGGATTTTGGCGCGCTGTACCCGTTCCTTATCCCATCAAACAATGAATCTACGTGGTATCATGTTAATCCAAAGCTAAACCCCTTTATAATTCAATTTATCTATATAATGATGTATCGATGCCGGAAAACAGACTGTACTTTATTCGGCATATGCATTATTAAGTATATAGCACTTATTTCTCTCTCTAATAAAGAAAGAGAAATTTGTCAGTGATGGTAAGTCTTCTAAGAGCGTATACTTTGCATGGACTGATGGAAGGACAGTCATTTCTGCTTTATATGGCATGACCGCAAGTCGAACACAGATGTATGCTGCAGTATCCTGCCCAACCGTTGTGCAGGACTAGTCCATAGGGAGGAGAACTGAAGTCTCCCTCTCATGACATCTCTTGAAGTAGCGCACAGTTTTCTGCACTTGTTATGTCTGGTGGACGAAAGATGAAGTAAAAGCTTTCCCACGCCAATGCTATAGGGCGCTACTTATATTCTTAAAGCAATGCTAACATATCACAGCTACGCCGGCTTATCCGACAAGCCATCTTGGGCCCCGTATGTCACTCAATCAGCATATGTTCCGCATATGCTAATAACATACAGTGGAGAACCTGTCCAAGGCCAATATTGGTTTCGAGGAGAAGGTGGCCGGGGAAAAGTGAGTTAGATCTACGCATCAGTTTAGCATATGCTGACAGATACAGCGCCCTGAAACATTGGGTGCTATCGCACGGATGGCAACAAGCCCGCTATCTCCACGAACCCAGGTATGTGTTTTACATATGCTGAGCTTATATTCGAGAGAGATATGTCTAATATATGCAGGAATAAAATCTCGCATGAGTCTGCTGTGTGGCGCTATGCAGAAGCCTGTGAGGAATCAGTATGAGTTATTATACCTTGTATATACCCTGCATATACCAAGCTAAGAGAAAACAGGTTAATTGATAAAGTCTTTTAGAACAAGTTCGGCAATTCCTTCCACCGGGTAAGTATATTCTCCACATATACAGTACATATGCTAAGAATACTATAGCAGGATCCAGTGTCCGCTTCTGTGACCCCACAGGTAAGTCCCCTCCATATATAATACATACATATATCGACTCCTTCTATAGCATCGATGATGGTCTTTAATAACAATTAGTGCAGGCAATAGTCGAGAAGAGTGGGTCTAGACTTTCTAGTAGCAGCTCGAGTGTTCCATGCCCATATGTTTACAGGGAAGTCAGCATGCATTATAGATGCGAAGAAGGCATCTAGGAGTCCTACACATATCTCTACGGACACAATCTGAAAGCTCTCATGGCTTCACACACAATTGCTCTCGGTAGCCATTTCGCACGAGGGCATAGTACAACAGTGGTTGTTAGAAAGGGTCAGATAAGATTGAGAAACCTAGTGCAGCATCGCGCAGAGAACTACCCTAACGTCTACCACGCACAAAATCGCACTTCCAAGTACTCGCCATCCCCTTTGACCATCCAGGATAGCCTTTGATAGATAACAACATGATGACCGAAGAAGGCCGGGGTATTGGGTAAGGGGGGCGGCCAAACGACAAGCTAGAAAGATTACCGAGACGAAAAACACCGTTACGGATATGAGGACATCAAAAGGTTCTAATAGGAAATGCAAAACTGCTTTTGCATGTCCACACTAGAAACATCATCAGACTGTGCACAGAGCGCACGAAGTACAAGACGAGACGACGCGTTTATGCCCAGTAGAAAAAGCAATTTCGATCCAAACGTGCCAACCAATGTGTTCTACTTCTCAACCTGGCTATGCAATCACATCGATTCTTGCTTGCGTATCTGGCTTCACTGCAACTGCAGCCTGGGCCCCGAGGGCTGTGAGGTCGGATGGTCTCATGCGCTGTCTGTGCGTCTGTGACTCAAATAATCTAGATGAAGTGTCAAGGGCTATACCGATGCCGCCAGTGCTTCATAAATAGCATATACTGCAGTATAGTACTAACTCGTGCATTTTTGATAGTCGTCGCAGGTGCGTTCGTTGTTCGAGGTCCCTCCCCTGGGTCGGGAAGGCGGATATTGTACGGCTCGAGTTGATAGAAGAGGCACGATTTGCCCTCGAGCCATTTCTGCTAACGCAATCCAGGGTATTGCTGACATAAGGATAATGATGGTATTGAGGCTGTCTCAACTCAGACAACTGTCTATAAAATGATACTGTTCTGAGTTTAAACGATCAGGATGTCCAGTAAATATCCTTCCCAGGATATCCCGATGTATGTGACTCGTGCCGCACTTAGATCGTCAAGAAATAGTAACAAACATAAAACAACCACAGCTACCTACACTCAGATAGTAGTATTCGGCTTGCTCTAAGGGTGTCTCTCTCATGTAACTCATGATGGTCATAGGGGTGTCAGCTGACTGCCTTGTTTCTATGGCCGCCCCTCACCATCTCTTCTTCCTCTTTGTCATCTTCATCTTATCTCTCACTCTTCCTATTCGCATCGAACTACGATAGTCTACAGATAATGTAAGGATCAACAATAAATGTCATTTCATGATGTTCTATCCTGTCAAAACCACCATGCTGGACGCACAATCTTACCAGGTGCTGTTAGATAGCTTTTTTGCCGCTCAGGTACAAGACTTCCTCCACATTTGACCACAGTCTCCTCAGTAACATCCAGACCCGTTGATTCATGGTGTGTCGGCCACGTTGTACACCAGCTTCTTTCCACTGACCTTGCCATCCTTCATATCCTGCAGACCCTCCAATACTCCCTGAAGCCCCCGTGGCCCCAGCTTGACAGGATGAGGCTTAACCTTTCCCTCTGCAAGGAAAGTGGCTGCCTTGCTCATGAATTGTCCCGCAAACTCTCGATCCTCCGGCTTGGCAGGAATGATGCCACCACCAAAATCAAAATCCTCACCAAAAGCAGTGTATCCTATGGTGAAAAGACTGCGGACATCATCACGGGGAACGTTCACCTTCAGCAAGGCAGAATAATCTCCGCCCTTGCTAGAGATCACTTCGCCACAGAACTTAGCGCTAGACTCAACAGCAACAGTGTCGAATACCAGCTTCAGATTGTCCTGTGCGTATTCTTTGACGGCCTGGACTGCATTCGCATCTTTATAATCGAACACTGCATCTGCGCCCAGACTCTTTACAAGATCGAAGTTCTGCGCGGAACATGTCGTCAACACAGTGTACCCCGACAACTTGGCATACTGAATGGCCAAGGTACCGGTGGCTGTGGAGCCACCGTAGATGAGAATCAGCTCAGGCTGTGCTAGTGGGGCGTCTGGTGGTGCGAGCTTCAGACTCTGATACAGGCCCTGGCCCACGGTAATTGTCCCCAAGCCGAGGGTTGAAGCTTCTTCAAAGCTGAGACGGTCGGGGATGGCGATCTGAAGGTCGGCCTTCGGGATACAGTATTCGGCAAAGGCGCCACTCTCCGGGTTGTTGGAATTGCATCCTTGAACCCAACCGCAAACACGGTCGCCCTTGCGAAAGGCTTTCTTGACGCCCTTGCCGACCTCTTCGACGACACCGGAGTAATCATTCCCAATGACTTGTCCTGGAGGTTTCCGGTCGGCACTTTTCCAGTCGGTAGGGTTTAGAGCAACACTAGCTGTTTTGACAAGAAGGCAGTCGTCGGGCACAGTAGGGATCGGACGTTCCATCACGTCGCGACTGCCGGGTGCAGTGATCACGAGGGCTTTCTGCATGATGAGATGAGATACGGAGTTATGGTGTGTTGCGAAGAAGCAAGTGAGATTTACAGACAAAGGCAAGCGGGGTCAGAGAGGGGGTTAAGAAATGTTACATGACTGCTGATTATAACGTCACAGCTTCTTTGCCAGACTAGTTATGTCCGTGTTATCTCCGCTCTTACACTGAATAAATGACAGCTAAGCATTGTATTATTAATCGGTGTCATTAATAATCCACGATGCTATGGCCTTCCAAGGCTGGCTTACTGCGATGTGATTCGACACCGGGACTCGCTAACCAGCCCCGGTCCCGAAATGGATCCGTTCAGTAGTTTTAGCTTCTCTCCAACCGATCCATGTTCTCCAACATTCAACTATCTACCTCTGTTCCATTCTTCTGCAACTCACCGCTATTGATGTCGGCCCGGCCCAATGACATTCCTCGCGTGGCCAACTTCGTCTCTGCCCAACCCAGCCCGACCGATTCCCCGTCCGCACCTCCGCCAGCGGGAATGACGCCGCCTCCCCGAGAGCGGGTCCCACGGGCCTGTGAACACTGCCGGGCCCGCAAGATCAAGTGCAATGGCCAGCTGCCGTGCAATGCCTGCGCGCGCCATCCAGAACGATGTCTCTACCGGACAGGAAGCATCCGCCAGAGAAAGAACCGTCGCACCAAGGAAGCCCCGCGACCACCAGCTACCCTACTCCCTCTCCCAACCACCGATTCGCCAACTACTCCAAGTGACTGGTCCCACACCAGTCTAAGCGATGGCCCGGCGCAGTATAAGCGACATCATGAGCTCCGCGCTGGTATTGGCGTACAGAACCCAGAGACAGGGGCATTCCAGTTCTATGGTAATTCTCATACCCTATATCTGTTTGACGGACTCTGTTAACCCACGAAGGACCCTCTTCCGGCTTCTGCTTCATTCATCGGGTCTACCAACGCATTAAGCAAGGCTCATCTAGTGAGCCGCTGCTTGCTCGTCGTAGCTGCTCCATTCCAGATGCCATCCACCGATTTGGCTTGGAGCGCTTCATGTTTGCCCGGCCAGGGGACTCGGATCCGCGGCGGACTCATTTTCCATCTCAGATGTTCCTCCCAAGGGAGCTGGGTGACCAATTCATCGAGGCCTATTTCCGCATTATGCACCCACAAATACCCATATTAATAATGTCCGAGATTGTTGATGCTTGGAACCAAATGTGGGAATCTCCTGTTCGAGACCATAGTGTCAAAAACCAGGATATCCTATTTATGGTGCTGGCTATCGGCGCTCGGATCGCTAATCTAAGGGGGAAGCAATCTGAAAGCAGTGTCGAGGCCTGGGCTGATTACTTCTCCAGCCGAGTGTCCGAGGGGCCCATCTTTCTGCAGGAGCCGAGCATCCGGGGTGTACATTTGATGCTGTTGAAGGTACGTCACCAGAATCTGCCAATGAAGCTCGCTAACCCAATAACAAGTCAATGTACGCTTTGCAGCTGATGCGACAAAATGATGCTTATCTCTACCTGGGTCATGCCACCCGCACATGCCTCGTACTAGGTCTGCACCGGGCCCAGGTCACCGATGGTCGCGATCCCAACGTGCATCGGCTGCGATTGACCTTCTGGACGACATTCTTCTGCGAGCGCATATCTTCGCTGTATATGGGTCGTCCGTCGAGCCTTTCTGACCGACAAATCGACACAGCATATCCTGAAGACCTGCCGCAAAATATTTATGACAGTACTTGCGCCCCTATGCAAGAATGTGCGTTCATCCGAGCGATGGGTGAGATTTCTAAGCTAGCGGATCGCATCTCTATTGAGATATATTCGCCGGCCAGCATAAAAAGTCCCACGGACCTGGACAAGCTCAATCAAATCAGCATTGAATGCGACCATGCCCTCCAAGCTGTCACACCGACACTGCCCAGTTACCTACACTTCTTCGATGACACTGTCCCTATTGGTGAGCCGTGGCAGGAGATTCAACGCGTGAGCCTTGGATTCTGCTACTACGTCGTCCGGATGCTCCTCTCCCGCCCGGCACTGGTGCTCACTACATTCTTCACCTCAGTACAAGAAGCCCAATCTGCCACTGGCTGCTCCGAGCTCCAGGCCTGCATCAATTCATCGACTTCTGCAGCCCGGAATTTGATTCACCTGGCCCATGATGTCTATTTCCGTCGCTTCCCAGATATTCGCTATGATGGAGCTTTGGCCTCGTTTCTTGTATCTGCGACATTGACTCTTTTATATGATGTGCTTAACTTAGGAACGGATCCGGACCGAGCCAGGCAGACCTTCACGGTCGTTGAAAAGGCAATAAAGTGTCTAGATGAGATAGAACATACGGGGTATACGTCAGGCAAGGCGTTGAGCTTGGACCTGATGAGAGTGGCTAAGCAAGCCGTGCAAGCGTCCGATCCCGTGGTGGACACAAACCAGGTCTTGATGGATGCGTTCCCGTGGTTAGAGTATGTTTTTACCCTCTGTTGTTGGACTGCGCTGACTGAGTAGTAACTGGGCATCCGCCCCGGTCGGGGAGAATCCCGATCTGTCAATGTATACGTTTCCCCCGGCGGACGTGGCGGTCATTGGCTCTTTGGCGGGGAATGAAGTCGGTTGGACCGAGCCGGACGGCAACCATCTCTGGTTGGGCAATGGGTTCGAGCCGAATGCGATGCCGGGGTGTTTATTCTAGGCGCGAAAAGATTAGATTGGGTAGACAGCACATAATAGACTAATGGATCATCTATGAGGGCCGGCGGCTATTCTGGCATTGTCTCCCGGCCACGTCTCTCCAGCTGAAACACCCCAACGCACCTCAGCCTTAGGGTATTATCGATCCAATGCGATGCCTGCCCTAACCGCCATCAATCCTGGCCATGATCCGAGCGCTATCCGGAGAAAGGATCCATAGATACTTATACCCTCTTTCTATCCTACCCAGCTGCCTCCCATTGAGTGAGCTCCAATGTCCAAAGCTAACATCCGGGCAGTCCCTTGGACTTCCCACCTCATCTACCTCCTTCTTATCCTCCCCACAGGCCTCAGCATCACCCTCCTGCTCAGTGACTCCCAGCACTGGACCCTTACAGGCAACCTCTACACCTTTATCAACCACTACCGCACGACCGTGCAAACAGCACTTCAGATCATAGCTACTCTCCTCGGCGCCATCCAAATACTCAGCATCTGCCGCCTTATAAACCACGCCACTCGCATCCTCTTCAAACACTCCACCCACCACACGACCCTCAACGACCTTGCCCTCTGGTCCGCTCTCTCCACCCCAACCACCAACTTCTCCCTCCCTCTGCCCCAAATCATCCTCACACTCCTCCTTGCCAACCTCTCCGCCGTCCTCTCTGCCCTCTGGACTGGTGCCCTCACCCCAACCTCCACCACTACCACCGCCAACACGACCATCCTCATCCCCTCCTACGCCAACCGCTCCTTCATCAAAGAATACCCCTCCCAGATCGACACTACCGGTCCCTCTCTCCGCACCTCCCTCGGCTATTTCACCTACTCCGTCGGCGTCGGTCTCCTCACTTCCCTCGTCTCCTCCGCCTCCACCGCCTCCCCGCTCACCGGCTCCCTGAAATTCCGCTCCCACGCCAAACTCGACTCTACCGGCTACACCTACTCCGGCCGCTCCTACGGCGTCGGCAGCCCTGTCGGCCTCACCGATGGAAATGTCACTTCGTCTTACCCTTACGCAGCCAACTACACCTACCACGAACGCGGCTACCTCGCCCGCGTCTCCTGCATATACAACTCCTCCACCCTCTTCCTCCTAGGAGATACCTACGACACAGCCCTATACGTCGCTGAAGGCCCCCTACCCGACAGCAACGCCTCCACAGGCGAATACTCCACCTACACAGGATGGTCAACCGACACGATCGTAGCCCTCGGCGTAGCCAGCCAACCCGCAGCATACACAAAGGAGAGGTACGTCGCCGCCGCAGCGGGGAGTTACTACGCGTCGTTAAACGCAAGTCAATGCCTGATCAGCTTCGTACCGAGATGGTTCCTCGTGAACGTGGCGATCCAGGAGAAACTCGTGGACGTGGTGCCACTCAACACCACCTCCTCTACCTTATATTCCTCTGAAGAAGAAACAGACACCGACATCGACCCCACCAACAAAACCATCCACGTCGCCATGCGCCAGTTAGAACTCATCTCCAACGACCTCACCTCCTTCTACCGCTCCACGCTCGGCGACGCATTCAATACGTCCATCGCAGATCACGCCACGAACACCAATACCACTGCCAACATTTCTTCGAACTTCACTACCACGAGCAGCAGCCCAAACTCCGCCGATAATGAAATAACAACCCTAACCGCCATCCAAAACACCTACATTTCCCTGATTGACGATATTCTCGCTGCGTATGGGTCTGCGCAGCTCATGGTGGGGAATTTCTCTCACCCCGCCACCGCGACGGTTACTGTTGATGCGTTTCGGCTTGGGTCCAGGGTGTATATTGTGGCGGTGTTTGTGGTTAACGTGCTTGTAGTGATTGGGGTCGGTATTGAGATGGGGCGCACGGGCGTGTGGAGGGCATTGCCAAAGTTTGATTATTTGGATGCGAGGATGTTGGTGCTTGGGGGTGCGAATGGGGGGAGGGGGGTTGCGGAACGGGCGGCCGAGGTGGGGTGGAAGGGAGAGGAAACGGGGAGGTTTGGGGTTAGGCTTGTTAAGGTTGGTGGGGTGAGGGGGGTGGGGTGGGGGTTGGTTTATGGGGGGAGTAGGAGTGGGAGTAGTAGGAGTATAGAAGGTGGTGGTGATGGTGGTGAGAAGGGGAGGAGAGGATCGCAAGAGACGTTGGTAGATGAGTGGATCTGACTCATGGTGTTTGTTCAGTATATAGTAGTTTCGGGGATGTGTTACGAATATCAACTACGATATAATGGATACAATGGATATAATGGATATGAACTGATATATATTGTTTATTACTTCTGACTCCTCACCATACTCCGCAACGCCTCGGTCTCACCTTCCAACTTGGAAACCCGCATCTTCAACTCGTCCCGCTCGCGCTTAATCGCCTCAAGCTCCTCCTCCAACTGATTCATCCGATCCACGCGG